CACCTGGGCGGGGATCAGCATGCGGGGGGCGGGGCGGGTGGGGGAGGGGCCGGTGTCACTGGAGGTCCCGGTCCTCCAGGTAGCGGTACTCAAAGGTGAAGCCTTCCTTCTTCCGCTGGCCCCACTTCTCGTAGTCAAAGTAGATGTAGGTGCCCTGGCCGGGGGAGAAGGTGGTCAGTGAGCAGGCGAGGTGGGGGCTGGGACCTGGGCTGGACCCACAGACAAAGAGGACACTTCTGAGGGCCGGGCCGACTGCCCTACATGCCCGCACTGTCTTGTTCCACCCTCACACGGCTCTTGTCGGTGGGAAATGTAATCGTGCCCACTTTAGACAGGAAAGGAGTGAGCCGCAAAGGTTATGCCCGGGCCAGGCATGTCTCAAGGCATCCGATGGCACTCTCCATGGCTGCAGCTCCCCAGCACCTCTCGTGTGCCGAGTACAGGATGCATGGCCTAGCATTTAGTCTTCACAAAAGCTATGAGGCAGTGGGTGCTGGCACCCTCATCCTAGAGAACGGAACAGGCTTAGCATCCATATCCAGGCTCTCTGCGGGGCCATTTTATTGGTGACAGCAGTGGTGTGGAGATTTTCAGATGACTCGATGGATCACTAACTTGGAGGATGGTTTTGGACCAACCCAAGAAGGAAAGGGCAGTTTATAGTTTATGTCCAGGACACAGTGGGAGAGAGAAGCTGGGTTCTGAATGTCCAAAACGTTTCCAAGAACAGCAACCTGGGAGCCCTGGGGGAGGGGACTGAGTTCTCGGAGGACAAAGACCTTACAATACTTCATCCCCATGAAGGGGTTTGGCATCAGGGCATAGCTAGTGAGAAAAATTTCCTGAGGGACACACCAACTGAAAGTAACTTGAAAAAAATAGAATACATCCATGACGCTGACTATGTAGCAGGCACCATTAAGTACTTACACGTGATTAATGCATTTAATCCTCATAACAACTGCATAAGGTGGGTCCTCTTACCCCCCTTTTTACAGATAAGGGAACGGAGACAGAGAGGTTCAAGTGACCTGCCCAGGGTCACCCAGCTAGAGCTGGGCTCAAACCCAGGTAGGCTGGCTCCAGAGTTTGCCAGAAGCAGGAGTTTGAACTCAGATATTGGAATGTGAGAAGGCCGTGAAAAGAGAGCTTCCCAGTGAGCATCTGCTGAGCCCTGGTCTGCTGGATGGGGGACATGGAGGTTAAGGTCCCTGAGCCATAGAGCCCACAGCCCGCCACAAGGAGATGTGCCAGAGTCCCACACACTAACCTCGCCGAGTGCACCCATGGTAGAGGCACCAGGCTGGGTGGCTCTGGGAAGGCTTCTCCAAGGAAGGGACGTTTGGGCTAAGACCTAAAGGAGGACTAGGAGCGGGCCACAAGTGGAGGAGGAAGAGGACAGTGTCCCAGGCAGAGTGAACAGCCTGGGGGAAGACGGAGCTGGGTCACTCTACGCGGCTGAACAGGCTGAAGGGTGGAGGCCAGGAAAGGCTCTGTGAGCTGGGGGACTCTACTCCACCTAGCAGTGGTACCAGGGGGTGGGGCCTCACCTGCTCGAACTCATCGGTGATGGTCTTGGGCTCCTCGTGCCTCTGGAACCACATCATGTACTTGGTATGGAATCGCCACGACTGTTTCTTTAGGGCCTTGGCTGCCAGGTACTGTGCCTTAGTGCCCTGAGGGAGGAAGGGTGGAGAGGGGGATCAGGGAGCCCCCAAATTGGGTGAGGAACAGGGGGATAGGGCAGGGCACCAGGGCTGAATCCGGACCCCCGCCACAGGGCACAGTGGGGCTGGACAATCCACTTGGAGACAGGGCTGGGGGCAGAACATACCAACGCTGGTCAGAAGGAAAGTGAGACAGGAGGTGGAGAGAAGCTTTGAGAAGGAAGAGAGACTAATGTGTGATGAGGACTGAGAGGAGGCAACTTAGATTTCTCCATTGGGATGAGGGTGGCAGTTGCTCATGGCTCACTGGGGTTGGGGGAGACTGGACAGTTCCCAGTAGACTCCCGGGAGGTCTGAAAATGTGCCAGTGAGAGTGGGGGTTGCCTAGACTGAGGGAGACTGCCCAGTGGAACTGCAGAGGGGGACTGCAGCTGTGCCAGTGAGCACACCGGGCAGGGCTGGGAACTGCAGAGTGGACCAGCCTTGCCCTTGACCCGGACAGTTCTACCAATGGGCAGGAAGTAGGGACAGTGACAGGTTAGTTTGGGGGGGCCCAGGACTGGGGATAGGGAGGGGGTGCGGTCCCAGCGGCCGCAGAGGGGCACCCACCTCACCCCTCCAGCCCGAGGGGGAACGGCAGCGGTGGCGGCGAAGCCCGGGGGCCCGAGGCTGCCCCGAGGGCCCTGCTGTACCTCCAGATAGTAGAAGATGAAGAAGAGTGTCTCAGTTGACAGGCGCTGGTAGAACTCCACGGTGTCCGAGTGCGGGGGTGGCATCTGGTGGTGGTAGGGGGGCGTTGGACAGGGATTCCGGGGGAGGTACTGCCTGTGGGAGCAACAGGAGGGTCAGCGCCAGCTGCCCAGTCCTGTCTTCATTCTCAGGAGGTGCTGAGAAACCCATCCCCGCTACGGCAGGAGCCCAAGTCAGGGGACACCAAGGCCCACAGGCTCCTAGACCCCAAGAACCAGTTGTGGCCACAGCCCCCCCTTCCTATGGCCCCTCACCGGATACGCTCAGAGTCAGAGGGGTGGGGCATGTGGTGCCAGGCGGCCTCTTCCATGGCCTGCTGGTAGAGCTGTTCCTTGGTGAGGGGCACGGGGCCCAGTGGACACACGCCCAGCGACAGCGGTATGTTCACCTCTGACAGCTGCAGAGGTGGCTGGGCTGAGGCTGGAGGTGCCGACGTGCTGCTGAGGATGATGTCTGTGGAGAGGGGCAGGGGTGAGGCTGAGATGCGGCCAGCCCCTTGTCTTTGGCCTGTCCTTTTTCCACCACCCTGGGACCTCACCTCGCTCAGTCAGGTGCAGTGTTGGCACAGGGTCTTCAATGCCGGAGCTGATGGCTGCCCGCTCTGCCATGGATTTCAAGGAGCTCAGAGGCTCGGGGGCCTGGGGAGGAAATGAGGTGCCTGGCCTAAGAGCCTGGAGAGCTGGCTGGGTGAGTGAACACAGCCTGACACCCTCGCCTGCTCTGCTGGAAGGAACAGAGGTCAGTGACCCACTCAAGATCTGCACGTGACATGTAAAAGCACCCCAGCTGTGGGGAAACCACTGAAACGTCATGAAAGGACTGCCTGGTTGTGCAACTCTCCACTGTGGGACCGTGCAGTAACTCTACTACAGAGAACAACTCCAAGCTACAGGACACTAAGTGTGTTACCATCCTTGTTGGAGGATGCACCACAGTACACACGCCTTCTCCAAGGACACCTGTATGCTGGGAGGACACCCACTCAGCTGCCGACCCTATGGTGTCTTTAAGGAGGCAGAAGGTATGCACTGTCATCTCACTGCCTCTGACTGGCATGGGTGACGGGGCAACCCTGCTCCGCGGAGTTTGGTCTCTTTGTCAGTAACACACAGGTCAGGCTGCAGCCTTTTTTCCTACAGCAGGTTTCTGTTCCCTGCAGTCAGGCCGGCTCCTCCATCCACCCCAGCCATGGGCAGTTATCCCTAACCCTGGCCCTGTACCCTCCTCCTCATGACCCTTCAGTCCCAAGGCCCATCCACCCTGCTTCTAAATGCCCCTTGGATAGCACACCCCACACAACCAAGGCCTGTCCTCTCCTGCCCAGACGTCCTCACCAGCCCTGGGGAACCTTTCCAGTGAAGTCTTACGTTGTTCCTTCTGCACTCAAAACCTTGCCAAGGTTTCCACCACCTGCCCCAGTGATCCTTTTATTGCTGTTAAGAGGTATGAACCCCTTTTGACAATCTTAAAGCAGGTGTTTCCTTTCTCTAGAAAAACGTGCACGCTGTGACTTTCCTGTCCACAGAACCTCTAATATTTAAATGCTCCTGCTGGTCAGAAATTATTCCAGGAGCTTAATGAGGACCATTTAGCCTTCCAAAGAACCATATGTGTGGTGATTGTGATTATTCCCATTTTCCAGATGAAGGAAGAGAAGCAGGCACAGGCAGGATGTGCCGGAACTTGGGTGTGGATGGTCTGGGTACTCAAAGTGATACAGAGACCCACCAATGTCTGTACATATTGCCACAGCTCCTGCAGAAGAGCATGACAAGGATTCAAGTGCTCCTGTACATTCCTGAACAATATTCCTGAGAGCTAATAAAAGGTACGCTTCCCCTTAGCTCCTATGAACTCCCAGTAAGAAATTTCAAAAGATCCTTAACTTCCCTGCAGACTATGCGCAGTACACTGAGATATATTCCTGAGCACATTTCAGAGAGTCCACTTATCTCCTATGCACTCCCAGTAAGTAGCTTCAGAGGATCCTTGACTTCCCTGCAGACTACAACCAATCAGTTGAAAGATGTAAATCCCCATTTACTCCCTATTCTTAGTAGGCACAGCTTTCAACAGGATGGTATCAATGTAATTACAGGTTCTGTGATTCGTCTAACTTTTGTGTAATGCATGATGTCTTGGGTCTTGTAACTCCCTTTTTTCTTCGTTTTTTTTTTGAGTTGGAGTCTCACTCCATCGCCCAGGCTGGAATGCAGTGGCACGCTCACAGCCACCCCAGTGTCAACCCGCTGGGCTCGTGATCCTTCTGCCTCAGCCTTCCAAGTAGCCGGAACTACAGGCGCGTGCTACCATGTCT